CCTTGTTCAGTAACTACTCACAGGAGGAGGAAGAGCTGTGCTCCATTCTGATTTGTGCAGAGGTGAAGGGACCTTTTAAAAGGGGAAGCATGGCATGATGGCTCACATCTGTAATCCCAGCTGCTCTATAATCCTAGCTGCTCAGAATGAAGAGGTAGGAGGATCACAATCTGAGGCCAGCCCAGCAAAAGTGCAAGACCCTACCTAAAAAATAACCTAAAGAGCAAAAAGGGCTGGGAGCATGGCTCAAATGGTAGAGCAGTTGCCTAGTAAATACAAAGTCCTGAGTTCAAACCCTAGCACACCCAAAGAAATGTTTTTTTAAATAACCGGGAGTAAAGAGAAGAGCAAGCAAGGACTCAAGGAATGATTACAAAGGACTGGTCAGTATAATGTGATTAAGCCAGCTATGTGTGTGAGCTGACAACCGGAAACTAGGATTTTATCTCCCACAGAGGTTGGAGAGAGAGGCCTGTCCTTCCTGATGGTAACATTTCAAAGGAATGGCTTTTAGGTTCTTGAGAAAGACACTCATTGACAGGAGATACATATATTTCTCAAAAGGACAGAGAAAGAATTCAGTGTTAAACTCTTTTTAGTAAATGTCTTAGTAAAGGAAGGTGCTGGGCTTTCCCAGACGGGAATTCCAGGGACTAGGTCGTCTCAGGAAAACAACCTGAGGCTGCTAGAAGCCATGCTAAGGTACGGCCGAGTGTCTTTAGCATAGTTGTTTGAACAGAGTGTTAGTGCTATACTCTGTAACCCTTTTTACATTAAACATCTAGTTCTCTATCTGGCATAGGAATCACACCTATAATCCTACTACTCAGGAAGTTGAGATTAGGAATATTGTGGTTCAAGGCCAGCCTAGGCAAAAAGTTCTCAAGACCCCATCTCAACCAATGAAAATTGGCTCTCAGAGACATTCTGTAGTGTCACATGTTGGAGGTGTGTCACATGGATCAGTCTCCCACAAAGAACTTGTCAACACACTGCGAGAAGGGCAGTGGCTGACAGCCTCCAACTACAGCACCTCCAACTCCACTCAGCATTTGAGTTGCGGATAAGCTCTTCTGGGTAGGACAGAGCACGTGGGAGCCCTTCGCCTGGCCAGTTCTTCCATCCATGGATGACCCAAATGGGCAACTTGTGCTCCAAGGTCTTGTCAGCTGAACGCTTTGTTCCCATTGTTTCCCACACCTCTTTAAACTGCATCTCTTATCCAAGATTCACCTCTGTTATTGCTCCCCTTACAGGATCAACAAACTTCTTGTACTTCTGACTGTAACTCTGTATCTGCTTCCTGGGTACCAGAACTGATTTAAAAAAAAAAAAAGTTTGCCCAAAACTACATTCACAGTTGATCGGTTCAAACCCTGCAGCAAACCAAAGTTTGTAGATCCCATGAAAGCGTAAATCCTGTTGGAGATACTTACACACTAACCAGGCTGAAAGTGTTTAGCTAAAAGACACACTGAGACATAAACACTTTACTTTACCCTCTGCCTGGTCAGAGAGTTAGTGGCCAGAGTCAGACTCAAATGCTGATGGCTGGTGCCAGCTGTGTTCTTCATTGTTGTGCCTTGTATTTAAATAAGGTGCACATACTTATAGCAATGAGCTGTGGCCTCCTGCATGCCCTACTGATGATGTGAAGTCCTAGCTTTGGAGGAGGGTGACTTTGTCCATGCATGCACCAAAGTTTAACTTTACAAACTACGTATCCCCACAACCAAGAATGGAAAAGACATGGTCAGGCATGATGATCAGCACATAAAAAGGTTGACATGTTTTTACCCAACATTATACAAGGCCCCTGGAAGGACATAAAGAAAGCAGAACACATGGTCTCTTCCCACAAGAAACTTACAGTTTAGGCAAGAGGATAAAGCAGACATATTAAATAATTATTGGAAGAACACTAGAGCCTAAATAAGTAAGTGTGAGATGATTGCTATATTGATAAAAGTGGAAAAAAAGGCAAAGGGCAAGCAAGCCCTGGAAAACAAAGGTCTTCTACTGTTATAAAGGTCCACTCCCATTAACGCTGAAGGACTTTAGGTCTTGGAACCCAGAATAATGATGAAGTATAAACTCCCACCTACGTGTAAAAAGGACTAACTGTAGAGGCCCAGAAGGCCTACAGGCATGAGTACAAAGTTTCCAGTGCAAATTAAAATTCCCTGGAATCTCTGGCTCAGGAGTGGCTCCGTGGTAGAGTGCATGTTTAGCATGCACAAGACTCCAGCATTAAAAAAAAGTACAAAAAATTCCCCACTTTTGATGAGTCTCCCTGTCACTAGACTGCCTTGGATTTTCACATTCTGTCCTAATCTGGCTAAGTAAGGGCATTTTAACTCTCAGTCTTCGCCACTTTTTATGTGGGTGAAAGTACCTAAAAATAGAGCAGGTGAATACTGATTTATATTGAATATGATTTTCTTCATTGAAATTTCTGTTATTCAACAACTGTTTGAATATCATCAGCTTTGGAGTGTTGTTTAGCATTGTGGTTAAGAGCATAGTGTTTATCAGGAAGACTTTTACTGCAGCCCCATCACTTACTAGATCTGTGTCAAGGTAGTTAGCTTCTCTAATCCCTATCCTTTTCATAAGTAAGATGAGACTAATACCAGGACTTGCCAAATAGTATTGTGATGAGGATTAAATAATTGATGTCAAGTACCCGGGAAATAATGGTCAGTAAAGTCACTTGTTACCCAAAATAAAGAAGCAGCAGCAGCCACAGCTGGAGGAGTGTGGGCTAGATATTATACCAGACACTAAGCATTCAACAAAGAACAAGAGAGAGAAACAGCTCCCACCTTCACTGAAGAGATAGGTAAGGTAAGCAGGCAAGAAGGACAAACAAGGGAGTAACAGCTAGGATAAGAAAAAACATAGTTTTATGGAAACATGTAACACTGACAAGGAGAGAAAAGTCAGAAAGGTCCTGAAAATTTCTTGGAAGAAAACACCATCACATCCTTTAAAAGTTATGCTATTTGCTAGGAATTTTGGGGTCCCGCCAGTAGACTTAGTTCCCTAAAGGGAAGGATAGGTTTGGGGTTATGTGCTTCACACATAAGAGGCATTCAAATACCCAGTGAGTGAATGAACAAGTGAATGAATGGGTGAGGGAATTCTTAGGTGATTAGGTAGTAGTTTGCCATTTACTGGGGCGATAAGGTGTTCTGTTCAGAGGAAGGTGTGCACGAAGTTGCTGAAGTAAGCAAAAGCATACCAGTGGAAGGAGCTGAAATGCAATGAGGCCATAACATATGCCTATGTGGACATCATGAAAGGAGACTGAGAAGGGAGCAGGGACCAACCAAGAAAGGTCTGGTAAGTCATGGTAGTAAGTGTGAACTTGATACTTGCAACAGCAAGAAACAATTAAGGATTTTCAGCAAAGGAAGTATGTAATCGTGTGGTTTTTACAACTCATTCTTGCTCTGTTAAAACACCAATACTTCAAATCCATGTTAAGAAGAAACTCCAGATAGGCATTGCTTTTTTTTTAAAGAATTCTCTGTAATCTCACCACTTGACCATGAATAAGAAGTAATCTGTATCCATTTTCTAAAGCTGTGTAAAACACCCCAAAACCTAGGGGTGTGTAATGACTTATTTCTCATGTGTCTGTGGATTGACTGGGATCAGGTCTTTCCTCCATTCTGTGTGGTATAGTTGAGGAGACAGCTACCAGTTTACCTTTACAAACTATGAATTGCCACAACCAAGAATGGAAAAGACAAGGTCAGACATGATTATCAACACAGAAAAATGGTGACATTCGGGGGGGGGAAGGGTACATTTGCTGACACGATGAGGACACAATACAGAAAAATGTCTGGAAACTGACCACCCAAGTTGGTCTCTTCTACTTGAGTCTCTCCACCATGGCCTCTTTCAGTAAACCAGCCATGGACTTGTCCGTATAACCCCTAATTCTTAAGAGAAAGGACTGTACATCTCGGTTTCCACCCATCTCCTCATCCCCACCACCACTTCCTTTGTTCAGTCCTTCATTACCACTGTTGTACTTTTGCAGGACTCCTGACCAATCTCCATGTCACTCATCCCTACCTTTTCCAGTCTACCTTTCACGTAGCTGCCAGCTATCTCTCTAAATGCTTTTTTTTTTTTTTCCTCTAGGAAATGGCAAAGAATAGGCCAAAGATTATTTAGAGATTTGTATGTCATGATGTATTTTTTCCTTGAGGGGGACCTATTGAACAACTTTTCAAGGGAGTCAAATTTGCTTGTTTTTAAAGGCTATGGTAGCAAGGTAGAGATCAGAAGCCTGGAATGAGAAATCACTAAGACATGGCTGTACCCTGCTGACTGCAGGTCTGAACCAAACCACTGACAGAAAGAGACTGAAAGAATATAAATGAGGCTGGCGACTATCCTGGAAACAAGTGGAAGGAGATGAGGATATTGTCTAAGTTTCCAACTTGATAGAAGTCTTATTCAGTGAGGCAGATGTTCAGGCAGAGCAAGTTTAGGAGTAATCAGACTTCTGAGTAGGATGGACAGTGAGGAAACACGCTGGAAGCTAAGTAAAAGGGCTAGACTAGACATACTGCAAACCAGAATTGAGAACTCAGAAAGCTGTGGACAGATTCACCCAGAAATGTACAGTTAAGGAAAGCAGTATGACCTTGGAGGAACTGAAGAGGCCACAAGATTTGGAAAGTCACAAGTAATTTCACATTTTAACAAATCAAAATGTGAAAGCTAAATTTCTTGCCCACAATTTGCCAAAATTATTCAGTAAGAGGGTCATCCCAAACAGTCTCCCCTAGGATAGGAAACCATGCCCAGATCTCCAGGGTGAAAGAGCTGGTCCATGAAAACCAGGTTTGGTAAACCTGAATTCTAAGTAAAGAAAGTAAGTCTACAAAATCAAAGTAGATAGTTTATGAAAAAAAAAAAGACGGGGGAGGGGTAGAAACCTAAAAAGCCAGAGGTTAATAGGATTCCATCACCACTAACACCCCATGCTTACTCACCAAGTAACTATTCTGATTTGAATTCGGTTCATCTCCAGAAAGTATATTCTATGTGTCAGTCTGGACATTCTAGCCGACTTTACATCTACTGCTTGCACTACAAATTAATTGGCATTCAAGTTACCACACTAGCTTCTGAGAGCTTGCTTAATATGACTCTGCCCCAGAGAGGGGTCAATTCTCATGTGACAGATTCCCTTTCAGAATTTCAGAGGCTAAGGGTCACTTTGGTGACAAACTGAGAGGACTTCTGGTAGCTAGTCACAAGGCTGTCTATGGAAGTGCTCCAGTCTCACTTCAGGGCTTCTCATTGAAATTCAGCAACAACTTTTACCAAAAGATTAAAAACTGGGATATGATTGCAAACAAGGAGAATTCATTAATGTTTTTATTTTCAATTGTAACCTATTATCCCTTCAAAAAGCTCTACCTCAGAAAACATCCCATGGATTTTGACTTACCAGTACAAACAAAAGTAAGTCATCCATGTCTGATTATAATACAGAATACACAATAAATTATATTTACATGCAATGACTAGATTATCACAAACACAAGGTAAAAAAATACAGCATTTTTATGTACATTTTTAAAGATTTACATTTTCATACACAGCTTATAAAGTTTAAAATTCTCTGTACAAAATCTTAGGTGTACAGAGTTGATACACCCCCATTCTTATGGCTGCATCACCACACAGATTTGCTTAAAACTGTAATACTACAAATACTTGAGCTCTTTTTACTTCATATTCAAGTCTTGGCACCCATGTACTAATACATTATTTTTGAAATGTGAATTACAAAGGAAGTAAAATGTAATCGTGCAGACATTTTAATATAAAAATGAGATAAAATGTGCTACTAGACCAACATCTATCAACTCCATAGTTACCTAGCTCTGTTCAACTTCCTGTACCGCTTTCATACAGGTGCATGCAAAACTACCAAATTATGGATTCTTTAAACATTCAAATAATACTATAGTCTGACAATACGTAGGCATTAATAATGCAACTAAGAGCCCTAGCCTGACAATTATTTCTGCTTTAGCAGAAACCCCAATGAAGACTTTACAAACTAAAATTCACAGAAATGTCAATATTATAATTCCTAAAGTTACAGCATCTGCATCAGAGTACACGATCATTTGAAAAGCAAAACAACAAAATAGGTGTTTGACATCCCAGAGTACTGATTAGCCTCTGTTGTGAGGATGGGGAGAGGAAATCTTGGATAAACCATTCAAGGATTACCCATTGGCCCTGCTAAGGAAGCGCTTGCACACTCCCAATCTGTTAAATAAAGACACCTGATGGCTTTATAAAATTTCAAGGTAAGCTACACTATTCATCATTAAAAATCTTCTTGAAAAGTAACAAAGGTTTCAGCACCTTCCCTTCTCCCCGAAGTAGCTAAAGATCAACGAGGAAAATAAAGTGCCAATGTCTAAAGTATTGTTAATTGTTTAAGAGGCACTAACCCATTTGATGGCTTAGGATTAAATATGAAAATAGGCCAGATCTGATCTGAATAATAAACAGAAGGCAGGTAGTCCAGTCTATGTAATTCCTGCCTACATGGAGGCTGGATCAGAAAACTACCTACTCCCCATTTATTGCTTTGAAACTGTTACACACACTTTAAATTCTGACACAGAACCTGGAGAGTTCTAAGAGGGAAAGCACAGTGTCTGCGCCACTTTGAAGTCGAAGAAGAACGTGCAGTCTTGATCACTGGGAGGAGAACTGCTCAGGCTCTCTTCTCCACAGCTCATGTCTTCACAAGAGTCCTCACTGAAGAGGAAAGAGACAAAAATGAGGCGTCACTGATTAAAACGCACAAGTGTTTATAAGCAAGATAAAAACCAAGTCTACATGAGTATCTCTAGTCTTAGGGTTTTGTATTCAGAAGCTAACCTTTATTTTACAGGGGCAAATTTAACTTCCAAGGACTTCCTAAAGTGAAGTTTATTGTAATCTTGTCAATTGACTTTTTTTTAAGAGGCTTACACAAACTACTAGTTGCCAAACTATTATGCTGTACTAAATAATAACTGCAACAGCAACTAACTGTAGAATCCTAAGTATTTTAAATCCAATAAATGTGAACTGAAAACTACCTCCCACCCCTCAGTCTTAGTCTTGTTTCAATAATTCCAGTACTGTCCCTCTCAAATACCAAAGCAAGATACAAAGGAACCACGAATATGGAACTTCTGGTCTTTATAGCATAAAACAATAAAATTTAGTAAAATTAAATAATTTGTAGATGTCTGCCCTATTACTGGTGGTGGTTCCCTTTATTTTTTCATCACCTACCCCCAGTCTCCTTCTGTAACACCTTATTAATATTAAAAAGCCCAGTTGTTACTGCTGCTGTTTTAAAAAGTGGAACTGTATTTCAAAGACCAAGGGAAATGAGAAGACAAAATGGGTTTTTTTAAGGTGGAGATTTTATCAGTCATTATCTATTTTAATGCAACTATGATTATCAATTTTCTCACCTGAAGAAGTGATGCCATGACAGTAAGGTCTTTCTTTGATGCCTTATTTTACAGTATGCCTACTATTTTGAATAAATACATGATTTTTTTGTCTAAAAATCAGTAATATTTAGTCTGCAGAAGTCTAATTAGCCAAGATCCCTGCTCACCTTTCACTTTCGTCAAAGCAGCCCCCCTCTGGGATTGTGGGCAGGTCAGGAACACTGTAGTAGCTGTTGTGGAGGTTCTGGGCTGTGCGCCTCGAAACAATCCAAACCAACTTCTTAAGATCTGGTTTGCAACACTCAGGAGAAGAGTATTCAGCCAGGCATTTAGAAACCAATTCCCTCCAGTAAAAGAACTCAGTGTCATTAATCTAAAAAAAAATAAAAACACATTTTAAGAAGCTACAGCAGTAGTTTACAAACCTTGCTGCACCTTGGAATCACCAAATGATCTATAAAAAATACTGATGGCTAAGCTCCCACATCCAGATATTTAATTGTTATGTTGTATGACCTGGGTGGCAAGAATTTTTAAAGTCCTCTAAGTGATTGTAATCTGCAGCTTAAATTTGGAAACCACTGATTTAGAACACTGTAAGTATAATTTAGATAGTATTGAACAAATGGAAAGGTTTGCCTACTTTTTAAAAAAACATACTGATCTAAATACCCCAAGTTTGTTAACAAAGCAACTACCTAATACATTCTGACAGATTTCATGACATCAATTTTCACTAAATATTTTTCCACATATCACTATCAGTATAAAGTTCAGACGAAAACTAGTAAAACTGACTGGAACAAAAGCTAGATGTTTAAAACACAATGATTTCCATCACATGTAATTCCACCACAAATGGAAGAGTTTTCTTTTTTGAGACAGTATCTTGCTTAGTCCAGGCTGGCCTCCAACTCAGTCCCCTGCCTCAGCCTCCAAATGTTTGGATTACAAAAGTGTACCACAATGCCCAGCTCCAACAAAATTATTTTATATCATCTTGGCCTCCTTTCCACCCAATCCAGCTATAGCTTATCCCCCTTGTGATCTAGCTTCAACCACTCCCTTCTCACTACTCTATCACTCCTGAGGTTTCCAATGACCTCCTTCAATTTCCATTATACTGGACCTCCTATCAAAATTCAATACTCTTGGTCACCTCTTTCTTAAAAATCTCTTTCCAACACAACAGTGTTTTTACTTACCAGGACCTGATATTCTGTCACTTGGCTCCTAAAAGGCCAATGCTAAAAACATCACAACTTCAACTAATCCCTACACAAAGGACTCCACAAGTTTCTTATGTTTTCCACAATCAATTCTTGGACTAGAAACATGGCTCAAGTGGTAGAGCACCTGCTAAGCAAGCACAAGGCCCTGAGTTCAAACCCCAACACTGCAAAACAAACAAAACAAAACCCAAACTCAACTCACACTTCTTCATGAGAAATTCCAAATCTCAACCATGGTTGCGATCTTACTGTCTCATCCATCTCTAACTATGGTTTATCGTCTGCGTTTTTATTCCAGACTGCCAAACACATGCAAGACATGTACCTGAGTATACAAGCATGTACTCTTTCATCACAAATTCACTTTTCCCAAGTGTCTGCCAATGATGCCAATATTCTCTCCATCATTGGCTCCAAATCACGGCCATGCATGATTGCTTCACTTCCAAGCCTATTGTTTGAGTTGGTTATCCTTATTCCCGCTTGTGACTATGGCCTAGACATTCCATCTGCAAGCCTGCCCTAATGACTACCCAAACCCATCCAATCCACCAGTTGCATAGCCACCAGCATTTGCTATCCAAACCTTCACTCTTGAAGATTCAAGATGGCTCCAACCAGGCTCCTAGTCACAGTGCCTCTCCTGATCTGCCCCATTTCTTTGCTAACAACTTCAAAGGACTTCTTACAGTCACTATTACCTGGCACAAAAATAAATAACACACACCATCACTCATGTCAAATTTCATATTTCACCAACTAGACTATTAGTTTAAGAAAAAGTACTGTGCCTTTGTTTCATACTCTTTTATGACTGCAAAAACACTGAGCCGGCCTGCCTAAGGGGTTTAAAAAGAAACATTGCTGATGTTATTTTAGTAATGAAACTAATGAGATAACGACTCAGCCTTACAGATGTGAGCGGATGCCTTCCTACCCCATTAGAGTACGCTTAGGTCTGCTCCTGGTATGCAGTTTAGAACAGTGTGCATGGCATGGGGCAATGTATGCGACTATACCACCATCTGGCATGAATACTACAGAAGGGACACCTGCCTGCAGAAAAAAGCTGGGCTTAGTGACCAGTGTCCCCTTCCAACTAATACAGTCTGGGTCAAAGCTGCATTCTGAGAATTGTGACATTTGGGATATAAGAAATAAGTGAATTTTAGAAGTTTAGAACCTCATGAAGTATTACGTTTAAGGCACCACAGAGCAAAATGAAACTTGCTTAAAAAAAAAAAAATAAGTACTGATGATATTTACCTTGGAATGTTTTTTAACATGCAGAAGAATTTCCAGTAATTCAACAGATTTTAAAGTTTCTACTTCCAAATTGAGAAGGCACAAAGCTAATATAGATGGCTACAAAAAAAAAATGAAATTTTTTTTAAAAGTCAGAACAGAAACTGTGAGATAAACATGAACAAGAAATAGGCTTACTTTTGCTTTTGAAAAGACAAGTCGGCAGTTGCAAGCCTTCAGCTGAGCTTCCAGTTTATCAAGGCTCAGTATTTCTTTTCTATAGGATGCAAAGAAAAGACAAAGATTCATCAAATTTTCAAACCTTTAAAGATCTTAAGGACTTGACATTAAAAGTCCAAGTTGAAAATGTAAAGGAAATAAAAATGCACATTTACTAACATTCTGATGTTTTACTGTTATTTGTCACAGTGCAGAACTTTAATTTTTAATCCCACTCACCTTTCTGAAGTATGACAGAGTACAATGGTGTGGTATAAGTGCAGAAAGTTTAAGGCAGTAGTAGCTTCCAGTTCATAGTGCAATTTTTCCGAAATTATTTTTTCCATCCGTTTTATATCAGAAGCGGTACATTTACACTGACTAATCCGAATCACATCATGAATGGATGGAATATTACATTCTTCTTCAACTATTCTAGCAGCCAGCAAGAAACAACAGACTCCAATGCAAGACAAATGTTTAGGTTTCACCTAAAACAACAAAAAACAAAAGGGTTTTAAAAAAAAACTGTCACTTTGATTTAGCATAGCAGACACTTGAAAGAATGTTGCAATGATGCCCCTATTTTTTTTTCATTGCTGGGGACTGAGCCCATGGCTCTGTGCATGCTGGGCAAGTTACTCTACCACCTGGGCTATCCCCTCTGCCCCTGTTAAGACAGGGTTATACTTCTATTTCAGACCTAACAAATTCAGAATAGTATATTTTCTGTCAAAATTAATTAAGCTTTTTAATATACACAGAAAAAGCTATTACTTCTTTGGACATTAAAAAAAATACTTTCTATATCTTGTCTTTTCCTGTAAAAATCTTTAGCAACCATCCCAATTCTTTAATATATTTTGTTCAAGAGAAGTATGACATCAGTTTGCACACTGTGTGAGACATACACAAATGCTTCCACGGGCAGATGACTGCCCTTTTCTTCTCAGTGCCCTGAAAACTGACCCAGCAGCTGACAGTGATCCTATTGACTGAAGAATTTCCACTTTTTTCTAACGGTCGCTGCTGATAATAAGACTGTGTCTTCCTGCTTGGAAAAGATTTACGGGGGTCATTTTTAATACACTGCTGTACTTAATTTATAAAAATGATTAAATACCTTCATGAGAGCCAAGAATCTGTCCAGAATATTGACAGCCAGGACAAAAGTTTCAGTGCAAGATCCAAAAAAGTTAGTTAAGCTCTTTAAATCTTTTACTTTGGCATTTCTCAATCTTGAACATAAAGTGTTATCATTCTGCAACAGAAACCAACAGTCAAAGTGTATTACTTTCTAAGTATTAGATGGATAATACACATTCAAAGAATAAGGTCATTTTCCTTAATTTGCAACAATACGGGTGGAAAGAGTGGTATCAACTCCTAAAGCTATACACTTTCAGATAATATGCGTATCACTGCCTTTTAAAAATATACAACATAGAACAGCTTTACCAATTCAACATCAGGTGAGCGATTACCACATTCCAGAAAGCTACAGGAAACACAGTATAATTTGGTGCCTTAGAATAGACATACAGGATTTCTTGTTTTAGTTTTTGTAAAATTATTTAAGGTCCTACTATAAATATTTCATAAGCAGAGGGTATAATGTGAACCGTGGGCCACCATTTGAAGAGGTATTTTTCAAGCGCCAAGACTCACAGAATAACCTCTACACTTGGTATTACTTCCATTTTTGCTAAGAAACAAAAGCATAACCCTGTACAATATTAAGGTTTATCTTAGTACCCCAGGAAGACCAGTTTTCAGCTTAAGAAATTATGCAGCCTTTAGTCTTAATTCAACTGGGGTGAATAAAGAAAGTTACCTCCCCAGGCCCTATGAGCTGCTTGAGCAAATCATCTTTTCCTGCAAACTTACCTCTGGGGTGGCCTCGATCAAGCTCAGCCCTTTCTCTCGAGGTTGGAATCTCTGTTCTTGTTCCAGGTAGAAGCTCAACAACCCGAGAAGCTGGACTCCTTCATCACCTGCCAAATGCTGTGCCCCCAAATCCTTCATCTGCAGCAAACATACCACAAACGGTTAAGTGTAACCAGAGGGTGATGGGGAGTGGGGCAGAAAAGGCCGGTGGCAGTACCTCCAGAGAGGGGCGCCCCAACGCACAGCAGCGAGGAAGGGGTGAGGGGATCGGTCACGTCTGCCAGATCCCCATGGGAAACCCTCCCCCCCACCGCCAAGGAGGTGTGGCGGGGGAGGAATCTGGTCACGTCCGCTGCCCAGCGCTGGGTCAAACCGGCCAGCTCCGGCCGGCCGAGGGCTTTTCGCAAACAGGAAACTGTCCGCCCCACCTGCAGCTGCAAGGGACCGGGTGGGGGAAACGGTGGGTGGGGGGGCGCGAGGGGGTAGGATTGCCCAGGGTACGACGACTAGCAGTGACTGAAGCGGGTCTGGGGTGGGGCTTTGCACAATAGGGAGGAAGAGAGAAAAAGTCTCGCGACTGAACAAAGAACCGGAGGGAGGAGACTCCCGAGCCCCGCCCAGAACCCAGCTCGGGAGACCCTAAGGCTGGAGCCCAGCCCCCAAGCTTTCCCTGTCGACTTCCTACTCTCCAGCATCTACTCTCCACGTACCCAAGTGGCAGACACCCCTATTTGAGTGGGGGGCGTGGCCGACCTGGCTGGGGTCGGGAGACGGAAATCCTGACCCCCTGCGCCCCGGACATCCCGGCGTATCCACCAGGATAACCCGGTCCGCGACTGTGTGGAGCCCTGGGGCTGTCAATCCAAGAAGCACCAACCCAGTGAGCCCCCGGACAAAACCAGGTGGGGGCACCGAAGCGAAGAACTGCCTTTAGCTTTGTCGCCCCCGCCATCCACCCCGCCAGCATCTCTCCATTACCAGCTCCCCAGGGTCTGAGGGGTAGGACCTGGGTCGCTCCCAGAGGTGAAGGGTGGGGAGCAATCGAGGCACTCTGATCGCTCTCCCCCACCCCCCACTGCAATCCCCACCACGAACAAAGAAACCCTGAGCCTTTCCGGGGGACCCCACTCACCGTGCCGGAGATGCACCTCCACCGGCCCCAGCGTCGCGGTCCGGAGTGGACAGGCGCGGCAAGGGGGTCCGGTCCTGTCTCCGAGGTCGGGGACCTGCCGCCTCAGCGGTGATCCGGGACCAGCATCCGACTCTTCCCCTGCCACCACCGCCCCTTCGGCCTCACAGCACCGGCCTCATCCCGCTGCCCGAGCGCCCAGCCTCCGCCCGGGCCCTCCGCCGGCGCCCCAAAACGTCTGTGTTCACCCGCACCGCTGCAGCCTCAGCGATGCCCCAGTAAACCCCTTGTTTTTGTTTTGAGTTTTCGACGCCCCCAAGGGGGCGGGGCACGTGACTCCCCGCGGAGGGATCCTTCACTTCAACAGCAGACTTTGAAAAAGAGTCCCGCCTCTGAGTCTCTGTGTCCACCCTCTCTTTGGCCACCAGGGCTCTCCTTGGCTTTATTGAGCCAGCTCCTGCCCAGTTCCACGGCCACAGGATGGAACCTGGACGTCGGGCTTATTCCACGATGGACCCGGAGCGGGAAGGAAAGAGGAGCGAGTGGATTAAGTGGCGGAAGGAGATCGTTTCTGGTTGCATTGCACCTTTTAAAGGTCCCCGATTTGTTTTGTTTTCGCTGTTTTGAAAAGTCCGCCCAAAGTAGCTGACTCTGTGATTGGACACGGGTGGGGCTTGCAGGCTGCTGAGGACTTGATTCAACCCTAAATCTGGATTGGCTGGTCGATAGGCTTTTGAGCCCTCTGATTGGCTCTCAGCGTGTACTGTTCTTCCATCTTCCTCCGGGCCTTAGCAACTCCGAAGTCTTGATTGCGCATGCTTGGGTAGGTGGCTTTGATGGCATTCAGCTACCTGTCCTCGGGTTCTACACCTCTTCTTCCACGCTCTCGATGGCATCTCCCCGCCCCCCCCCGCCACCAAAGAGATGCCACATAAGCTTTGTGACAACCGCTTCTACCAAAGGAAAGTTTTCTACGTCCCTTTATTTGTCCTGCAAATCTATTTTGCAGTAGGCAATCGAGTTACAACATTTTTGGAGAGCTTACTGAAATATTCACAAGTAACATGCTATCATGCTTTGGTATTTATTTAAAATTTTTTCCTACCCATAAGATAAAAGCGAGCTAGACTCACCCAGAGGGGTAAAAAGCTGCGTAGAAGTTGGGCGATAGTTCACACGAGGTTTCGTTACACTATTGTTTCTGCCTTTGTGTACCTTAAAATTTTTCTATAATTAAAAAAGTTCAAAGGAGGGACTTTTCAAATAAAAACTTCATTGATGAGAGCATATAAACTTCTAATAATTATAATAGGGTTCCTCCACAGGTTGTAGCTATGCTGTTGTTTTAATGAAGACTCCCACAGCCTCTTGGTTCTTAGTCGCCCATAAATTACCATTTATTGTCCATTATAATTAGCGTTGTTATTAAGGTTGACACCTTTCCCGAAGCGGGGCAAAGAGCAAAACCAACTGTGTGCCTTAGACCGGAGAAACTTTCACACGGAATATCTTTGAAGGATGAAGGAGACTCCCTTAGAACATTTGTAAGTTTTTTACTTTCTACCTCCTCAATCCCTACCTCTCATCAAACATACAAATGGACATGTTCCTAAAATCAAATCGAAGTAACAGCCCCCTCTTCTTGTGTTTGTTTTCTGTGAATTATTTTGTTGCTTGTGAAATAGGGGGAGGCACATAGTGTAGTTTCAACAGCAGCTCTCTTTTTTTTCTAGAAGAGCTAAGGAATTTTAGAAATAGATCGCTTTATATATTAGCTGAAACTAGACACAGACATCTGTCTGAAACACAGAGCAACTAGAGGGGAAGGGATCCCAAAAGAGTTAGCAGGCTTTTCTTCAAAGAGGTGTGGCCTTCTTAAGGATTTGGGAAAGTGGAATGAAATTAGCACACTACTTTTAAATGATTTAATTACTCAATGCTTGTTTGATCTTTTAAGCATTATTTAAACTATTACTTTTATTTGACCAAATCATCTCACTGGAAATGCATGCTAACAAACTTTAACAGGAACATGCAACTAATTTAGAAAATAGAGCTAAGATTAGAATTTAGATGACAATTCTTGTACAAGGATAAAAAGGTCCAGTGAACAGTGTATAGATAGAAGCAGCTGGACAAAAACACACACCATGAGAGAAAAGAGAGTTTGTAACCAGAACTTACAACAGACTAGAGACTTTGTTTTAAGAAGGCAAAGGTAGAAAAGGAACCTAAGATATAAAATAATTGATATGAAAGAGGAAACGTAAAAGTAAGTGGTAGGAGATACTAAAAGTAATACAATATATAAGACAAAAGATCTAGAAGTTGTTCTTTGCTTAGACCACTAAATGGTATAAAGTTATACAAAATGTGTGCTATATTTTGTAACTGGTATTTTATGTATCTGTTTCCAGACATCCTTTTAATGATGGAAGCAGCTCTCTTAAGAGTAAAACCATAAAGCTTTGTAAATGGTGTTGAATTTCCTGCTGTTTGTAGTACCTCCTCAGCACAGAAAGACTGGTCAACATGTCCAATATGGAGCCTTTTTCCATTTAATCCACTTATCTCTATCAGATTAAAGGAGAGCAATCATTAAAAATATTGGTCCAATCATTACATCATCTTGTTTTTTTTCAAAACACCTCTTTTTAACAATGTTGGTAATTTAGGAGGAGGAAAGTATTGTGCAGGTTTTCTGTTTACTTTTTTTTGATCATTTATCCTATTTTTAATAGTCCTTCCAGACTCTCTGTGTCCTCATCACCTTGACTTTCTGTGCTACCGCCATGTTATTTATTAAAAAGATATTCTCCCTAGACGCCATGTTATTTATTAAAAAGATATTCTCCCTAGACTAATCAAGCTTTACCCATTAGCTACTTTTTAGCCTTTCCTAGACAATTTTTTTTCTCCATGCCACCGTGTTGGTGTTAAGCAATTCTTGAAGGCAACTTTCTGCAACATACACCCCTACAAAATAAGGAACTCAAAAACTTTGTGGTCCCCAAGAAAGGCTTTGTGGGGACTTTTATCATAAGATACTTGGTCTTCTACAGACACTGACAGTGGTGTGATAGAGGTGGGTGATACTCTGCCCTCAGTGAAAGCCTGACAGAGCCTGTTGTTCTTAGAGACATCAGAGAATAGAAAGTGGGGACAAAACTGGAAATGAGCAGTGAAGCACCCACACAGAAACAATGCCTGCATTCAGGGAATCCCTGACTCTGTCAGGTGTGTCCTTCAATCCTACTCAACTTCGGCTTCCAGCTGAAAAGAAAATAGGGCATCCCCAGGGCTACTGCCACCTCCCTAACTGATTTATCTCTAGACCTCTATGGACTAAGTGACGCATCAAAACCCCACAACTTTCCAAACAGCATCTTTCTCCTCAGAAATGATTCCTTGTGACGGCAAATCCTAGATTTTTTTGTAAGAGGTTTTTTTTTTCCCCTGTGCTTTGGGTCAAACCCAGCCAGTGTTGCACATGCCAGACAAATGCACTACTTTCGAGCCACCCCAGCCCCTATGCAACAACATTTAATGAGTACACTAAGTGCTAGGCATTGTACAAGGCCTCAGGGATACCAAAATAGATTACTAAAACAATATGCCCTAGTATATCTGCAGTAGGACAGAAGTGCTGGTTGTGAGATCAGAATGGCTTTGAGCCCCAGCTTTCCTACTCACCAGAAATAGTACCTTGAATATCCTGAATGATTTGATTGTACTGAGCTCAGCTTTCTAACCTAAAAACCAACAAACGGGTTGCTATGTCTACTTCCTACGGAACAATTAAATACAAATGTTTGTGAAAGCAATTTGCTGTACAAAATAAACTGAAAGAATTTTCACATTCTGTGACTTCTTGAAGGGGAAACACTGGATCATTCTGAACCTCATTGAAAGGAAAGAGATTCAGGATCCGGGTTATAAAGCAGACAGGAGGCCACTTCCGCTCCCCTTTTCCTTACTATTCCTGGCTCCCTGTTTTCTTCCATCTGGACTGTTTTCTGTCATCGAAGGTGGTTTGCAACCCCAATTTCCTGTTTAGATTCACTCTGCTAGCAGAACCCACAAAGGAGACAAGAATGCCTGTCTCAGGGAGAGGAATGGGGAAGTTACAGCCCAACCCAGATGCCATCTTGAAGTGATTCAGATTTGTCAAATACAGCTCATATTTTTAATCTGAACTTGGGGAAATGAGGCAATCTTTATATTAGACAATTCATCCCTTTCATTAAGTGATCAGCAGAATAAATCTCTGACATTATCAAATCTGAAATCAGCAAGCCCAACATTTTATGATCTATTTAACATAGAGATATTTTGTTGTTGTTATGACAGGAGCACGCCGTATCTTTCTGGGGAATGTTTATATATGTATGCAAGGATTGCTGATAATCTCAACACAGCCAATTCCCAGATGTTGATGTGTGGGTTCCAGAATTGTAGGAATTATCCACACCTTAGAGACCATCTGAATGTCTACAACTGGAGGACCAGCTTTTCTAGCCAGCCACTTTAGCTCCTTCCAGTTCTACTAACTTACAAGTGAGTTAGCTTTGGGTAAACTATCTCTGAAACCCCAGAACTCAATGTTCATTTGACTCTGCAGCCAACATATTACTTGATTATGCAAAGATCTTTCTGCTGTACTAAAAGTCAACTGAAATAAATGAAGAAGTTTGACATGATGTGGAAAGGCTGGCAAAAGAGAGGGCAAGTAAGAATATGGTGGTTCTTGAAGTCAAAGCTGAATATTTCAAAATGGTGGGTCTGTTCCAAAGTAAATATTTTTCTTTCTTTCTTACTAAGAGATCAAGTCTCACTTTGTTGTCCAGTCTGGCACTGAACTCCTGTGCTCAAGCAGTCCTCAGGCCTTAGCTCCCCAGGTAGCTGGGATTACAAACTTGTGACACTGTGCCAACTTCCAAAGTAAATATGTATTTAAAGTGGCCCAGACTGCATTTTGGGACATCATATGTTATTGTTTACATAACACATTCTTCTTTTATAATTTGTTCCAAGAACCATAACATAAATCAGGTATTTCCTGTCTTGACATCACAGTGCTATGTGAAGTTGACACTTTCAGCAAAGAGCCATTTAGGAGACATCTGCTGAATATATCATCTTCCTCCCAAAGAAGTTGTAATGTCTGTGAAAGTAATGATCTCTTATTTTGATCTCAAATGAAAAGGCAGTTGACATTTAAAGTGATGTGAATTTTGCTTTTGTTAACATTTAAAAGTGTTTTCAAAAATGAAGGGCTTTTTCAACTTCTAAGAAGGATTGCTTTATATTAAAGATTCACAAGTCTGTTCAATTACATATATTATGTTTT